AATATATTAGTTATTTTATATAAAAAAGAGACAGTGTAAAGCCATTTTGGTGTCGGCACATTGCGTCTTGTTCACCATCTGTAACCATTTGAGTAAGACCGAAGGCAGAGACGGAGCAGATGCGGAAACTCGCCGTATTGAGACGTTTTGTTCCATGTTTGCAGAGCAAACAAATAAAGCCTCAACCTCTATCAGCACCTCAGTATATTGGTTCCACGTGAAACATGAAGAGCTAGAAACCTGATTGGCCAGTGCAGTTCTTAGGCATGCGCATTGTCGGTTCTGCCGTACCGTTGTAGAGACAAGGCAGGAGAAGGAGTAACCAAACCTTCAGATAAGAAAAATTGCCAACAGTGCGGTTTCGAGAATTCAGTAAACAATATCGACATGGTCCCGCACTTCACAGTTCCGTGACTGGATTACAGCAACTTCATCTCTAACGTTGTAGACATGGGTTCAAGCTATGAATTGGACTTGTAGCTTGATGACTGGATTACTGTAGAAAACAGAGGGTAGTTTTACGTTCTTCTCGTGTTATTGAATTGTACAACACTGTTTTGTTTTCATGCCAATCACAAAGGAGTTCCTAGAATTGAGATCAATGGACCTTTACAATCGCTATTCATGGCGACTGCGGGTCAAGCAAATTGCAACAAACATGTACATAGAATACCACCGTCTGCGGTAAATTCTTAGAAACTGAAAAACTATTTCAAATATGAGTCAGATACGAAGGTTATTGAATGAGTCGGTAGTGATCGACTTCAAGAAACTAGCACTGGTGACCCAGCCGAGATTCGAACTCGCTACCCCGACCTACCACGGCATTATAATTCTTTTGTGCCTCGTCCATGCCTCTCTACACCCTTCTAGCTTCAATTTTATTTTTAAGGAATGTGCACAACATTAAGGAACTCATGTTCCTCACATTCGCGAGCTATTCAGTCTTAACCTTTACTTATCAATGTCCACTATTTTATATCATTTTCCTGTCCTTTACCAGGAAATGTTCTCCATATCCCAATTATTCTGTCTACCTTGTAACTCATATCTGAAGGCTTCACTCATCCACTTTCCATAATGTCAGCCAATATTTAATAAATCTTCTAATATGTTCCATAACTTTTCATCTGTTATCCCCCGTTCTCCCATATAAACACCATAAATTTAAAATTCCTGAGAAAGCTATAAATTCTTTTTATAAAATATCCCACTATATTATATACCTCCTCAAATCCTAACTACTACCTAAGCAAAATCACTTACTATTTACTCTATTGTGGCACTGCACAAACATAATACTAATGGCCAATATGTTCTGAATTGATGCTATGATACTACACTACACAGCATACGACCCCCCCCCTCCCTTGCCTTATATTTTCCCCTCCCCCACAATCGAAAGACGTAAATATTTGCGAGCGCCCTCCAAAGGAATCGGCTGTATTCCTTGGTCAGACGGAGGATGCTTGAACACCGACGAACCAACCATGAGCTTCCGCACAATGTACCTTGCGGTTAGGCAGCCACGTAAGGGATTACTTACTCGTAAATTAACCAGAACTGCTCAAACATAACATAACAATTTGTTTGTATGAAACAGACAAACAATTTAATTAGACCACGCAGAGAACAGTTTACACATTACACTTCAGTTGTACTTCAACGATACAGAAAACATTAATTTACTTTTTGTAAATAAATATATAAATAAATCCAGCATCGTAAACACGTCCGGATGACCATTGCTTCATACATAATTAGACCCATTCTACAAGTCTGACTCAAGTTCTAAAAATGTATAGAATCGCATACTCCAATGCAGTACATATAATTTCTAAACATGTTAATTATTAGCTAGCATGGGTAATTAATTGCATGATACACGATTATAAATGTCTTTAATTTCGTAAAGAATATCGAAATGTTTCAAGTAAAATTTTATAAATTAATTAGGTCTATGTTTCATCATGCTGTGTTTCGAGATGATCAGTCTTTAAGAAATTATGTGCAGTTCAATTTGATATCCATACAAAGTACGCACTATATTGGATCGGTATTAACCTAACAGAAACAAGCATTAACTAAAACTTGCGACAAGAATTCTGGTGTCTGAAATGTAATACAACCGATGAAACCCACAATCCCACCTTCATTTTAATAATTCTTTTGCATGACTTTTCCTAGACTCTGTGTCCTATATTTTACAATTTCTCATTCAAACGTAACGACCAATCACGTATCTAATTCATTCACCTCGTACTCGGTTAGATTAGGTTGGGTGGTCTTAGTCTTCACCTCGTACTCGGTTAGATTAGGTTAGGTGGTTTTAGTTCACGCAGGGAAATTCTGGGACAGAACTTTAAAATATACCACGACCAATCCTTCCTAATATTTTTAAATTTATCATTCACAATAATCTTATAATTTAATACTGTATAACCTATGTAAACTAACGCAACATCGCTAAATAACCCAAGAATTAATCAATTCGATTACGAAGTACCAAAGGATTACTATAAAACTGTTTATTTCATGAGATGATATGTTTAAACAGATTGAGATAATACGAAGATACAATTACACATAATTCAGTTCAAATAACGCTGGGCTACTTTAGTCTAGGTTGGCGGTCTGAGAGCGGATCTGTACATTACTTCACTTTACACAGACGCCTTTTTATTTAGTGCTGTGGCGAAACTAATGGACTTTCCACTATACGCTGAGCTGTGCTAATGAAAACTCCCTCTACTTCATGTAAAATCTAAATAAACAAAGCCACGGGTTACGTACAGACTTATTCGTTTGGTCTGTACGTCCATCTACTTCCGAAAGCCTGTCTGTGTGTCAGCGAGTTGGGAAATACGATATCAGAAAGCAAAGGATACAGATTTAGTTTTTGATATGTGCAGAATACATTCCGTTATAATAATCTTTGGTTCCAGAACTTCAAATGTCAAGTTCTGAAAGAAACAGAATGCATCATTCTAAAAATCTAGACACATGCAGGAATTATCAAAGCTATCCCTCTCCGAATATTCACTGTATGGGAGAACACAGCACATGTAAAAGTAAGGTTCATCAACCTAAAGCCAACCATTTTTGGTTGATAGGCAAATACGTGAACGTTATTTTTGCAACAACGTATGAATATGCCGGAAATGAATCAAACTGATATATTATATTATAATTCTATTCTCGAATCTGCTATACCTAATCACTCAAGAGGAAATATGTATATATATAGTGTTGAAAATAATCAAACAATTAAAGAGTTAAACACTACAGTGAGAATCCTAAATCTCACATAATTTAAAATTTCTTGACATAACCACTTTGTGATACATGTTACTTTACGTATGTTAAATTTCATATAGATAATTAAAATATTATGCTGAAAGAGTAGCCTCACTTCCTCTGGTAAGTTTGATACGAAAAATGCGCATTTCCACAACATTTCAACCTTCAACTTCAAAGGAACTAGAATCTTCATAAGCAACAGAACGTGAGTGCATTGCACACTATTACAGAAAACGCACTAACACAAAAAGGCCTATGAAATATATTCTAATTCTCTCTTAATATTTAACAGCGAGTACATAAAAGGAACATGAAAATAATGGGAGCCAAATAAAAAAGATTAATCAAATTCTTCGGTTGTTTTCGTATTAAAGCCTTCTTGAAAAAGAAAATTTGTAGCAGTGTATATATATATATTGTATTTTATTTTTAGGAGGGAGAAGGCGGTGGTTGTTCGAGGGAAACAGTGCGGACAGTCAGTCTTTTGTTTGACCTCCACCCCCCAGAAAAAATTGTTCACCCGCGACAACAAAAGAAAGAATTGTAAAGACTGGAAAGAACAATTTGTTCCGTCGTTTGAAGAGCGAATACAGTGACATCTACCGGAATAAGTTTCAACTTAGTCACTCGTCGGATTCTGACCAATGGCATTGGAGGAATATAAACCTATATGAAAAAAATCAGGGAACCATTCCTTTGTTACAATATATAAAACATACTTGATTCAGTATTTTACTAAGGAAGACATAGGAAAATGTATAATACGTGCAATTCTGAAAAATGAAATTTGAAACAATCTGACTGTCTTATCGCATGCCTGGAGTCGAATAAAACAATGTTTTTCCAGTTTGAAAATAATTATGTTAATCTGCAAGTACAACTTCAAGTTTAAGTAAGAACCTCTGAATCCTAGGTGCATTTAATCACATTCTATAATAAAAAAAGGAGAGATTTAAAAATCAATTATCAATGCTGCGTATCGTTTCGAAAGCATTAGTTTTTACTGCGTCGAATTTACCACATACAACGACAAAAACAGAATAGCCGCAAAGCCAAAATCGTTAAAATCTACAAAACACCCACAGAAACTTTGCAGCCACGACCTTTCACCTTAAAAAAAACACATAGAAATGATTAATTACATTTCGTCATATAGCGGCTAGTTAACTTCGCTTGGTAGCCATGTTCTTGTTCTATATTCTGTAAAAAAAATTACCACGACAAAATAATTTTTCCAAGATTTTTATCCTTATCTAGTTTTATGGCTGCACATTAAATGGCGCTACTGTCACAAGCCATCGACATCTGTGAGTAGGGAGTTTTCCGTGGAAATAAAAAAAACACGGCGTTGTATCGGACTTAATTACAATGCTTAATGGTGCATCTGTGTCATCGCAGTTACAGCCGATGGTGGCATTTAGTTGTGAAATCTTCAAAAAAACAATCCGTCTCCATACAAAGATTAATAGATTAAATCTGTTTAGGGGAATAAAAATCACTCTTTATTTTAAAAATCAAATAAAACCCACAAATACATTTGAGAAATTTTTCGTTATTTCGACTATTTCTCCTGGCAAAGTTTCAAACGATCCAAATATTCTCCTCAAAATATGTTCTTTAGAACCACAAACCTTTGTCCTTTCATTCCGTGTAAGACACCAAGTTTTGCACCCATATAAAAATATGGATTAAAAACTCACCAAAAGAAGAAAGGCCCCGAATGCAAGGCAGAAGACAAGTGGCCCAGCCAAATCGGTGTCCTGCAAGATGGAGGCATCAGTTATACGGTATGGGTTGAGCACGGCAAGAGTCTGCAAAAGAGAGAAATATTCTATGACGTTTGTTGAAAGATTAATGTACTCGTGGTCTAGGCAACCCGGGGTTTTCCTCCGTGGCATCCCAACCATTACTCCATTCACACACAGAAGAAGGGAATGGCAAACCACTTCTGGATCATCTGCCAAGAACGTATATGAACAGGTCCCAGTCCGAGAAAAGGATGGAAGGATCCTGTTCATATGGACCTGTCGTCAGACAGAACACTAAATAAAAATAAATAAAATAAATATCATTTTAAGAAAACGCAGGGCAACAAACGAGCAGTCAATAAATTATAAAACATAATGTTTAACACAGCGTTTTTTAAGTAAATTTCAAGATATTCCCTATTTAGCACAAAGACAAAAGATGTCTCTACGTCACAAAATAACAATGTGACGCGACAGACCGCGAAATTACGTTCCAATCCATTTATTCTTCCGCCCCTCTCCCCGCGACCAGACTTCAGCATGCTTGTTAAAAGAGCCATCAGCTCTGGAGTTTTAACGGCTACTGGGCAACGTTACGCGCTGGAGTTGCCCGGTTTCTGCCGTCAAAACACGCGTTCCAGTGGAGCAAACAACACAGAAATGAATTGTGACGTAGTGTAAGTTACTGTAGGGTCAACGAGAGAACGGTTCTGTGAAGATTGTGGGAATGGGAGCGGGTAATGTTGTTCAGGGTAAGGCGGAGAATGGTACCTGGGGTCTCCGACCCAACCCTCTCATTCCAACCTGTCAGTGTTTAGAATATATGTGTGGGCGCTTTAGATGTCCATTTCACGTGTGCTTTGGAGTTTTAGAGAGAAAAGCTGTCTGTTCTGTGCAGGTAAGGAAAAGTATGCTATAAAGCTTTATCCATTGTTTCTACATAGCTAAAACAGGATTTGGCCACTAAGCACATAAAACGTTTTCAGTCAATTTATTCCGTGTTTGTACTTCACTTTCATTGTTGTTTCAAACCCAGCTTTTGTACACACGGATAATAATCAAAATAATAATTAACACAAACCTATTAATCTTAATCCCTAGTACGAGGCGCGTCCACAAAGTAAGTTTCCCACTCGTCCCACAGCTAGCAAACCTTATATTGCGCGAAGCGACTGTGCGTACGTGATAGAGCAATGACGTAGCATGGCGCATGCACTAACGGTACTTCCCGCGTTCTTACAGTAGCATCGTTGCAGCTGTTGAAGATGGCGGTTCTTATTCCAGCTCCCGCCGACTGTGAAGTGCGGTCAGTGATAACGCTCGGCCGCACACGGCTCGACGGACAGCAAGTCTCCTGCAGGAGTTCAGCTGGGAGGTGTTTGATCATTCACCCTACAGCCCGGACCTCGTTCCCAGTGATTTCCATCTTTTCCTACCCCTCAAGAAATTCCTGTCCGGTCAGCGTCAGCGTTTTGAGAATGACAGAGAGGCGGAGATGGTTGTCACACAGTGGTTCCAATCCCAGGCGGCAGACTTCTACGACACAGGTATTCAAAAGTTGGTCCCACGGTATGACAAATGTCTCAATTCCGGTGGCGAATATGTTGAAAAATAGCTGGACACTTGCTGTATCTGTTGCAATAAATATTACCATGAAATTGTGTTTTGTTTCTGTAAACGGCCCCAGGGAAACTTACTTTGTAGACGAGCCTCGTAGTTACAACGTCTCTCACCCGATTAACATTCAACAACTCTGCATTTTCCAATTTTATTGGTCTCGAATGATTCTCAGAATAAACAGCCATTATTTCCTTTTTGGAATATTAGCCAAATAATCTTCGTAATGGAGACGTGTTGTGTTTTCTTTGCGGTACGGATTTAATTCTTCAATATTACTTATATTTCCTTCGGTTTAAAAAGTTTAACATAAAAATGTAACTTAGGCCTGATTTTATTATATTCTGGATTAAGGGATAGACAGGGTTTATATAATTATCTCGTTATAAAACATTTATGATAATTTCCTCTGAGTAGGTGCGACGATAAAATATTGAAAAATCACGTAATTTTAGTCACGCGTGTCTTGCCTGTTTCTTCATAAATAAGACCACTGAGTCTCTGAAGGTGTAACTTTCATTCAGCATTTCAATGACCACTATTTTATTGTTCTTGCTAATTATAATATGTGAAAGTAAGTAATAGTGAATTCTTTACACAACTACTTTTACCAAAATATTTCAAAGATAATGAAACATACGTCGTAGTCTACGAAAACTTAGCTTTTTGCGTTCATCTGGCATTGCCCACTGTCTGATCAAGTTTAATAAAATTTCTAACAACGTTAAAGAATGAAATTTCTTGATATTACTAGAAATCCAATCATGTACTTCCCTCATCCCTCCGCCGGCCCTGCTGTCAATTCTACGAAGGTCTGAGGACCCAGCGGGTAGGGGGGGGGGGAAGACAATGGAGTTTTTCTTTGGTAGTTACCAGTGAAAGTAGAGGCTCATGTTAGGTTTCATTAGGTTCGGCTGGTTAAACTTTTGCTTTCCCGATTACAGAGTCACAAGTGTAATCCTCTACGACGTCCTTCCTTTAGACGTGCGAACTGACAGCATCAGAGCAAGAAACGACGTAAATCACTACTGGGAAAAGCCCGGTGTCTTATGATTCGACGTCTGGTAATCAAGTAATGGACTAGAGATAAAAAAAAATATCTAGGGCACTAAATCTAGAAGTGCACAGGAACACCAAAAATCCGTAATGTTAACTTTATCGATTCGATGAAAGTAGTTTTGTTTCACTATCAGAGCAAACATATTTATAGTATGCTGTCAGAACAAGAAAGAAATATTAAGACTTTGAGTCATATTTTCAAAATAATTAAAAATACAGAATACAGTAAATATTTAAACGCAAAGATAAAATTCCCTTGCGACATAGCACCCAAATGCATTATTTAAAAAAAAAAACTAAAATAATTCAGACAAAATTTGGTGTGGGAATGTTTTGTAGAAAGGTAAAGCAAAAAGGAGTTAAAACAGGTTTTTATCATGTATACTGCACAAAAGATCATATATATGAATTATTTACGCACGCCAGCTATATATAAATGTAGTTAAATACTAATTTATGATAGATTAACGCAAAGATTCAACAAAGCTAGTACGAAAGCCTAACATTGGGCATTATTCTGAGTCAGCTCCAGTTACCTTCTATCCCCACATTCTATTTCTGTAAGATCCATCTTAATGTTATCGACGAGTTTCCAAGTCATCCAAGTAGGAGTGTTTCACTAATAAAATTCTACGTATATTCCTTGTCTCCTGCATCCCAGCGATATATTCAGCCATTAAAAATTAAATATCCTGCAAACATATAAAGCATTTTGGGACTTTTATAGCAATCGATTTCAGAGTAAGGAAAGCCAGCAGATAGCAGATTTACAGATTTTCACTCTTGTTTGCTAATGAATATATTGCGCAAACAAGCTTACTGGAAACACTCACATCTGGATACAAGGATTAGCAACGACGCTGTCACTTTAATCTCATGACATCTACATAGTAATTATCCAGCTGGCGTTTGTTTCTGTCTTGTTCTGCCTGTGACATGACTAACAATGTTATTTCAATGACGATGTGATGTTCAATACAACTCACTGAATATACCCAACAACAAAACGCCAAATCATTCACAACTGACTGCCTTAAGAAATAGGTTATGTCGGTCAACATGGCATCGCTGACAGTGACCTCAACAAACACAAGTTGTAACTAATGCAAATGTTACATAAGCTGGTACAATCTGCCAAGCTAACAATAACGCCACAGACTACAGAACACGACAGAAAACGTACAGATCAAAGTACATTTGTCCAATACCTTATCAAACACAACGCTTTGAAAGATTTGTCAGGGAATGGAATTATAGCTCAACGCATATTTAAATTCGGTATCATACGCAAATGAGAGGTCAGTTTCACGCTCAGGCCATTTTATTCCCATGGAAAGCGCTCCTGGTTGGGTCCCACGCACGGTTAGAATGTAATCCTGGTCCATACCGGAAACTAAACCTCGGTCGTACAACCGTAAACCAGGTAATTGTCGTTATAAAAAGCATCGCTTTATAAATATAAAATCCTTAAAGGCTACCTGTGCCCCAAATAAACAATCAAAGCGACACTTCCATGTTCATGCAATTTCAGGCGCGTTCCAAACTAAAAGTAGTATAATTACGTCTATCAGCTTCGTGGCATTCGTACCTCTGTCTGTCTACACAATCAATAAACAACACACCGAAATAAGGAAAGATATCGAGAGAATCGATCAAATCAGTGTCCCGACCTCTCGAAGCTGGAGGTGAAACATCAGATATAAATCACAACAGATCAACTCGCAGCACGAGCTGTGTATGGCATTACAAGTCGTAACGGATCTGTTGACCCCTTGTAAACTACGACCAGCTTCACAGGACATTTCTTCTCTCGGGCCACAGCAAGCTAGTCCCCACTTCTCTCCATTTTCTTGAAAACCCCTTGAAGAATATTCTGCTACATTTGATGAGGTCCTAGGTACAAGTCTCCGCCTCGAAACCATATCCTAAAAAGTTTCTCACGGTTTTCCGTAGTCAAGAAAATTCTGGATTGATACCCTAACTTAGCCGACGACTACCTCCTTCCACATCCTTTCCGATTCATCATTCATTAACCACACCATAAATCAGTGTTACGTGGCCTGTGGTTATGGCAATGTCGTTAAATATACCATAAATCGAGACAACCACTGAAGATTGGAGGCAGCAAGGACCTCTGAAACGTCGGTAAACTTTTACCAGACTACAGGGCGCTACATTCCAGAAGACAGCCATCTTCAGACTTACAGCCGTGAAAACCTCAAATCCCACGAAACAACTATTATTCACTACCTAAGACCTCTGTGGTTTCTTTTGACTAACTAAAACACGATACGACTGAAGATGACAGATTGTCTTCTGTGATCTTACGCCATCTGGTAGACATTCATGGACGTTTCAGAGGTCTTTACTGCCTCTATCATTAAATTCTTGATGATAGAGGCAAAATACCACTGAAACGTCGGAAAACTTCTGCAAGACTACACAGCCCATGTTGACACTCGCCGCTCTGACAATCCTAAAACCTCACCATTATACCGCTCCTTCTTCTAAATTCGTGGTTAATAATAATTTTATGTTTATACAGAGTTGTTAAATGGCCTTGGAATTAACCGGTATCAAGAAGACGACGCACGTCTAAGGCTGGCTGCTTGCAGAGGGTTAGTCGACACCATTCTTGAATCTTCCAATACGGCAAATCGAAGCTGCTCTGCTCCCTAGCCTGGAGACAGGGTTTGGTCTCGGTCGATATCCGATACCTGACCTCATTCTATATTTCTACCCCTCAGAAGGACTTATGGACCTGAAATATTCTTTTTCTCTCTCTTATTTCTTGTGTTCAAAATTCGTCACACAGGGAATTCGCGTCTGGATCTCAACACGAGCTACATTAAAATCAGACAAGACAGATATCCTACGTCTCTTTCCATGTAGAATATTTATTAATAGTTAACTTCGACCTTGACGTCTGTACAATAATTCGCTGAATTGAAAACTAGTTTTATTAAGATAATTGCAGTATTCAAAACAAAACCAACGGTTGAGGTAATACGTCCGCGTACATGCAGTTATAATATTAAAAAAGTTTCCATGTATTATTCTGACTAGATTTGAAGAAAGAACGTTTATTACGTGTCTGTCCATTAACAAATTACATTTCGGAAACTGTTTGATAGATCTTAATCAAAACTGGGGCAAATTTACTCCATCTTTGTTCCTAATTTCGCGTTTATTGTTTTATTTGTTAAACAGGTAAAGTCTAGGTAAGATTTAAAGTTTTACCGACGGCGATTATGAAGATTGCTGCCTCATGGATGTTACCCAGTGAAGTCTTGTAGACGTGAAACGATGTTTCAGGTGTATTTGCTGCCTCCATCATCGCCCTGATAACGGAGACACCATACACCTCTGAAACTTCGGTAAGAATTATAAAACCCATTATTAATCGATTTTCTCCAGTCTCCTGTCACGTCATCCCTCTAAAGTCGAAATATTCAGAGCATCAAGATAAATAATTCTTGAATTGTCCAACACGACTGATCACCGCTGAAAGTTGTTAATCTGCATTATCAACGTACTCATATAAAAACCTACGAGACTGGAAATGTTCGTTTCTTTTCTAATACTTTACACAGCAGACGGGCAAATTAAATGCGTCTGTCTTAGTATTTCGTAAGGAGATTACAGGAGAGGGGCTCGTTACTCAATTCGAAATGCAGTACGCCTCTTGTGATTTCATCCCTTGCCACCTGATCGATACATCGAAGAGTGGCGCTAAGTTCTAATCCCTTCGCCCGGCTGGAGTTGAATTTGTAACAAGAGGAACGCTCAGAACAGCAGAAATATAAAATGGGGAAGGCGGTGTGCAGAGGGCGTGCGAACTGGGTGGGGAAAGAACTGAAATTTACTGTTATGTTGCTAAGAACGGGGTCCTGCATACTTTTAAGTTTCATCCTTGTCCACAGGAAGCATCGGAGAGTGGTTAACACTCCTGTTTAGTATTTAAGAGATCTCAGCTTCAATCTCGACCCAGAGATCAATAAAAACAGACTCCATGCAGTCTGGTATACGTGTAATATTCTGACTTTGTTTCATCAGGACTCAAATTAGAAACCTCGCTTGCTGCCTTCTGGAACGCAAGAACTCAAATTCTCTTGAACTGCAATCAATGATGCAAAATCAAATGGAATTACATAAACTGCAGCACTGTAATGATAACACAACTTAGCTAACTGGCTGGCCACTCTTCACTTGTAGGCCAATTAACGTCAAATCAAGTCACTTCCTACTGTATTTTGCTCGTTGGATCACTTCCTTCACATAACGAACTCCATGGAGCACAGCCATTCTTGTCGTTAATTGTTGCTTTGCTAGCCAAGAAATTCCCCAATTTTCCGCTCATTACACACGCTCTTATCAACTGATAGCCAGTCGTAAAATCTTATACCAAAAGAAAACTTCCAACATTGAGTAAGAAGTCATTTTTCTTTTACAATATTCAAAGAAACTTAACTCTTTCTTTCCACCTATTATCACACCGAAATATTTCTGTGCAACTACAAATTACCTTTCATAATCTTTCAACATTTACTCGAAACAGATCTTCAGTTACGAGACCCAGCACACAGACAATTTAAGCGTCTACAGATGTAATTTATTATTCTACTGAAGTGACAATTATATATTCACGGAGTAAGAAGTGATGGATGAAGGAATTAAAGAACAGAGTTTCTACTGACGGAACACGAGAGAAATCTTGCTCGGCTGAATTTTCTTTACGATTGTATGACATTTTTGATTGCATTATGTATTTATTGGAAGTCTTGGCTGTCGACTGAACCAATCAATTTCACCATGATGCGAACAGCAGCAAAGCAGTGTAATGTAAGCGACAGGGGCTTCATTTTCAAAGGGTACACATACATACATTCACGCACACAGCCTATACCATCTCCCAGAATCTAAACCAGAGGCATAGCTAGTCTGGAAGAGTGGCAGAGGGGGTGGAGGGGTGGCAGCTCGACTAAACCTACACTCAAAGTCATTAAAAACTCGTTAACGAAGGGGACGGACGAAGCTTCGTTCATGTTTCTTGTTGTAATGCAGAATAGTGTAACGATGAAGTAATTCGTAATGTTGATACGAAAATAAATGTAATACAAATGCTTACGTTTTCACACATTACAATATATGTATCATGATTCTGAGTTAATTAAAGAAACATCAATGCTATCTGAAACCTATGAAAGAAAGGAACAGAAAACTTCAGTCTAAATACAAATTATCCATACGAAATGTCAGATGGGTTGCCTTAACAATTCTGACACACATAAGACACATCTAAATGTCTTACTGAATAATATCATCTGCGGCTCTGTCTTAAAATCCATTAGTATAAACCTTCAGAAACATTCTGTCGGCAGAATCTCAAGGGCACTTAGAATGAATTAAAGCGAATGAAATTGGTATTGTCTGTATTAAGTCGAATAGGTCAATACAAAGTTTCATCAAACCCTGTCTAAAATACTAAAGAAATATGCACATTAAAAGCTTATTCATTTCCTTCAGTAAAGTGAGAATCAAAATCGACCAACTAAATCAAAAACAAAATGGCGTAATGCAGCTCTGATATACTATTATGATCCGACAATTTGGAACTTCTTACTTAAGGATAAATGGACAGATGCTACTGTAGAAGGCAACTAAAACACGTAACTGCTGAAAATGAGAACAGAAATATTTAATGTGCTGAAATATGGTGGGTTTAAATAACGTTGGACACAAAACAATATTGTCCAGAATTATGTACGTAGTAAGCCACATTACATAACCCTAATAATAATAATAATAATAATAATAATTTAAATATAAATGAATATATTGCCTCCTAGCAAAATACGTATATCAAGATGATGTTTTTTTTTCCTTTGTTATAAATGCATTCATTTAGCTATTAAGCACAAAGGTAATCACGAATTTCGAGGTAAATCTCTGACCTTCGGTGTTCCTTCCTGACAAAATAATCTAAGATTTTCATCAGCCACTTCCATATTTGCAGTGCAACTTCGCCATTATACGTTTCAGCTCCGAAAGAAATATACAGAATATTGGAACATGGAGATTCGATTGGGGGCGCCTCTCGCGGTATCGCTCTGAACCACGCTCTCCGTCCCTCTGGTTTAGTCAATTATAAGTCTAATCCAGGATTGACCCCATCTTGCATGCACACATTTTCATAAATTTATATTCGAATATTAAGTTTGAGAGATCGCTGTTCCAAGAGCCTTTATTTCTTGGCTACAATCAATACGAATGCCGCACCAAGGGTCTTAATCTTAATGGTTTCCTGATTCACTAATCCGAGTAGAGTAAGCGAACCAGATCGAGGACAGTAATCCCAATCAATTATTCATCATCTAAAGATAAACATTCACACAATGTTGTACAAGCGATATAAGATGTGTCTTCTAGGTTGTAGCACCGTGTAGTCTGTTAGAAGTTTACCAACGTTTCAGAGGTCCTTGCTGAAACCATCATCAGGGCGATCGCCGGTAAACTTCTATTACACTACATTGAGCTATAACCCTGAGGACATCCACCTTGGAAACCTCAGATACTATTTGAACGATACAAGATTTTCGAGTGTAATCTCAACAACATATATCGACTCACATAAAATAAACAAAGATTATCAGAATAATTATAGTGAGATGTCGAGTTATAAGCATATTTTTGTGTCCGTTTTAACTCTGGTCTGACTGACCACTCTTGCTGCCCGTGACTCAGCATTTTAAACACAGAATAATGAATTAGTTATAAAAACTCCAACGAATTTTCTCGTAATATCAAGTTATTCATACCAAGAACGATCTAAAAATATATTATCAACTTAGCAAACCTAACTAATCCTTCATATTTCCATATTTGTTTTAAATTTAAAATTTTAATGTACTCAAAACCAAGGATTTCAATGGGTAATGAGTAATAAAAGGTGATACTTGTTCCTGTTTACCTGATAGCTGGATATGACGGGAATTTCTACCATAATAGCTCTGTGTTAGAAGTTATAATTCTGTGTCTCATTTACATTCTGTGTGATTAACTGCAGATAAAAAAGAGATGAATGTATACACGTCATAAAACTTCCTGTCATATCAGATTGGCCTATACAAGGCGATGCTCTTAAATTGATTATCACTGCAATGAAAGTTACCCTACATTAAAAAATCGAATATGCGTGTAATATAAATTATATTACGGAGATGTTTTCCACAGTATACTTTACGTATTCAAACCTCTGCAAGTGATCGACGTTTGTTGGGATTCCTGTATCTTAACTGATGATGGGCGGGTTTATGAATCGTCACAAGTGACAATATTTATTTCCCGACATAATATTAGTAAACATACAGGTATACAGATTGTTATATTATATTGTGGAATTTTTCACAGAGAAAATCAGACTATAACTCTCATATGTTATTCGTGAGTAAAACTACTGCAAAATCTTTTCTCCGAGACAACAGAAAAGGAATTCTTAAAATTAATTCCAGGAAATAGAGTCCTTCCTGAGAATAAGATTTTCTCTTAGATAATCTAGAAATTCCCCAAAGGTTCATGAGTTTTTAAATGGACTATAACCTGAGACAGCTGAATCTCGTACGCATTCCATTTCTTCAAGAATAGTATTAACATCATGGCTATTCCCATGTACTCATATTTCTTTCGAGTTCACATTCATTTACGTTCTGATCTTAATATTAAATTATAACAGCATCTATTAAATGATCGGGAACGAAGAAGTGAAGTCACAAATTTGTACTGAATAAATGGCTCCAAAAAATGATTTCGCCTACAGAAAACACAGCGAAACATCGATATGGCGTGCCCAGTTGTACCGCTGATTCGGATATAGAGCAGCTTTGATCATGTCTCCTATACGAAAACACGTGTTTTACGTCTAATACTTGTAGCGAGGGCACTGATTCTATCCCCCGACACCCGCGTTATATCGAGGTTCCGCTGTGACAAGTAGATCTACCGCGTAATTACTCACTGAATGAGATAAAACGTAAAGAAGATATCAAATCAATTAACTGGAAACTTGAATCGCGTCGAT